TAAGTTTTATTACAAATATGTATTTAAATTCACAAATTTAAACAATTTATAATAAAAAATACATTAAAAATGAAAAAAAAATGTAGTTGATTAATCAAATCAGTCATCTATTAAATTACGAAACAGTGTAAATATTTAAAAAATTTGTTATACTTAGTATTAACAAATTTTATGTTACCAAATTAAATTCATATATATTATGCAATATCCTGCTTTTTTAATTTTTAAATGCATCTTGTAATATAAGTTTTCAATTATCCCAATAACAAGTTCATAAATGTTTAGCAAAATTTCATGTTTTAAGCAAAGCAAAAAAAAAACACTAGAATAAAAAGGAAGAAATGGGCAAAAAGGGAGAGAGGGGAGGAAGAAGGCGAGCAAGCAAGCAAACAAGCAAGAGAGAGACAGGGGAGGAGAGAAAGAGAGACTTTGAATTAACCTGATGCTGTCTTCGATCATGAGCCGAATTTTGTCGCATTTGGTGGTTGTGCCATGATTCGTCAGGGCTGTGAACTTGGCCGCGATGATATCTTGAAGTAGGTCGTCGTCGTGGAAGCCGTTTGAAAATCTGCCGGCAGCCGGTCGCTGACTCGGCTGTAATTGCTTGTTATTATCGTTAATGCCGGCATTGATGCTACCGTCATCATTCTCGAGAGAAACGTCAGTTCGTTCCTTCTTAATTCGCCTGCCGTCGAACGCGCTTTCGTCGGCATTAAGCTCGATTCTTGCGGGTGGTTTGCTGACGCAGGGTTTAGTTTGATCATGGTTATCAGTACTCATCGTACTCCGTCAGCGGAGGCGCATCAATTATGTGTGTAAAAATTTATCACCTCCCGTAGGACGACGCGAGTATCCTACCATTTTGTCAGAGTCAGCTGGACTACTTGTTAGCATTGCACTCCCGGTTATTATACATGAGCGCCATTCAAGACCCTCCACTCGCGCGGACCGACAAGTCGCCGAAGCGCATACAATATAAGAATAACCGCGAATCCGTCATACCGATCTCACGCGCAACATTTTACCCGTGCCTCTTGGCATAGTTCATTTTGGCGGAATGCACTTATGCGCAACCCATGATAAACTTAAAACCCAGGATTAGTGGACGGTCTACTAGGCACGGAAATCTGAGCACTTTGCGCGTTCTTCAATCGTCATAGACCTTGCGCTTCGTCTTATAGAGTACATCACTTCATGTCGCTTTCTCTGATATATAAAGACATATTTTCATTGAAATTACGATTTCTTTAAAAAAGTCAATAATTGGTGAATTTGTTTTTTCTAGTCAAATATTCTACCATTGTATATTTATGTAAATATATTATGTTTTTTAATGTAGTGAACTTAAAAAATTATCATACTTCACAGAATAAGATTAAACAATAATGGTATTTTGTCTCCAAAAAGATTAAAAATGTAAATTTCAATCACTATAATTTTACCCATTTCATTTCTTGTATATCGAATTTCTTATTGGATATCTTTAGTTGAGTACATATAATTATTGGTTTATATACTTGTATACAAATAATGAAATATCATAAATATGATTGGTTATCATTAGTGGTACGCGCTGGTGGCACTGTCATGCACTTATGTTAGGTCTAGGGATTCGGTAAAAACGATGAACCTCATTGTACTGTTACGGTACCATATGAACACGGCCTTATGTTAGATGGCACCACATGATATGGACTTAGGCGCGCCAAATTCAGACTGTCAACTGAACAATCGAAGCAACAAACAAAAGCTTGTTAATACTTCCGCGGATTACTACTTAGCGACGCTCACTAAATAAATATTGATTTTGGTTGCTTGGTATCGAAACATCGCCAGCACGTAAAACCATTCGTTCTTAATGAACTAGGAACCAATCAAATGACTTGTTAAAGAATAAGCAGGGAAACGGTTTATATTATTGGATGTTAATATTAACAACAGCCCGCTACATTAGATCTTATATCCTGGCATCGCTTCGGCTCTCATTGGCATATTAACGCCAAAAGCAATAAGTCGCATTATTTGAGTATTCCAATTTGTAAAGTAAATGAGTAAATTATTCCAATTTTATAAAGTAAATTAGTAAATTAGTTTCATAGCTAAGAATATATTTGCTTTTATCTTTATTTAACCTTTCTTTAAAGTAATATTACATTTGAAGAGTATCCAAATCCCTTTTTCATCGAAATTGGAAACAGACACGCAGATCGAACGCGAGAAGAGCAGATCAGCGCTCCACGGGCGGGGATCCTATCATTAGCATGAAAATCCCTGCAAGGCCACGCAACAGTACATTATTCTAAATGAAAATCTGACTACAAGATGTGAGTGTTATGTCTCGTTAGTAAGGAAACTGATGTTAATAAAATATTATTTTTAATAAAATAAATATATATTTGATATTAATTTTTTTTAAAT